GTTTTCACTTGTGCAGCTGCTATATCTAATCGTAATCATTTTTTTCAAAAGAACAACTCTCTTGAAAACAAACGACTATTTATTGTTGCAAGAAATCGATGTAAAAAGGTGCTTTCTGATGCTAAACTCCATTATTCTCAGTTCACTAAATCTCACATCTTATTACAGAAGTTAGGCTCTAAAGACTTTTGGAAAATCTTCAACAGCATTATTAACAAGGGTAGATCTAACATTCCATCTCTCATTCATGGGACTGATCTTATTACCTCTCTTAAGGATAAGACAGAACTATTTACAAAGAGCTATTCTTCTAATTCCACTCTTGAATCTTATGGCCATTCTCTTCCTTCCTTTCCAGTTAAACAGGTTGACCCATTGTTTGACATTCAAATCACTCCGGCTTCTGTTGCTAAAGTCATATCTCAATGCAATTCTGGAGAGCAATTCTGCAAGACTGTCACAGTCTTGCAGAATTGCTCTCCAGAACTTTCTTCAATTCTCTCTAAACTATTTAGTAAGTGCTTGACAGAGTCTTCTTTTCCTGCTTGCTGGAAAATGGCATATGTTGTTCCAATTTCAAAAACTCTGGAGAACATTCTGATCCCACCAATTATCAGCCAATCATTCTTCTTTCTGTTATTAGCAAGGTCTTTGAGTCTTTGATCAACAAATTTCTCACATCCCATCTTGAGTCCAATAAACTACTGTCAGACAATCAATACAGTTTCCGATCCTCTCGCTCTACGGCTGACTTGCTAACTGCTGTAACGGAAAGATTTTATCGTGCATTAGATGGAGGCGGGGAGGCTAGGGCTATAACTCTCAACATATCTAAAGCATATGGCATGCTGGTCTTCTCTATAAGCTTGCTTCGTATGGTGTGTCTGGGAATGTTTTTGAGATTATCAAATTATTTCTTTCAGACCGCTTTATTAAAGTTATCCTTGAAGGCCAACACTCTTCTTTATTTCTAGTAACTTCTGGGATACCTCAAGGTTCCGCCCTGGGCCCTGTTTTGTTTCTTATCTACATTAATGATCTTCCTGACAACCTTTCATCTAAAGTAGCTCTTTTTGCTGATGACTCAACTTTATACTCCTGTCTTGACAAAAAGTCTTCTCTTTTCGATCGCTTAGAACAGGCAGCTGATCTTGAATCTTATCTCACTTCTGTAATAGATTGGGGCTCACAGTGGCTTGTGGATTTTAACTCTAACAAAACTCGACATTCCTATATTAATGAATGGCAGCACTCTTACTGAGTCCTCATCTTTACATCTTCTTGGATTATCGTTTACTACTGACCTTTCATGGAAACCATGCATACAATTGATTGTTAAATTAGCTCTCGATAAGGTTGCTTCTCTTTATCGTGCTCGCCATTTTCCTACTCTGGATTCCATTCTCTACCTCTACAAATCTCTTATTCGTCCCTGTATGGAATACTGTTGTCATATTTGGGCTGGTTCTTATAATGATGCTCTTTCTCTTCTTGACAAGGTCTAAAAACGCATTGTAAACGTTGTTGGACCTGGTCTATCTGCTAAGCTTGAGCCTCTTTCCCACCGTTGTAAAGTTGCATCTCTTTTTCTTTTCTACAAATACTATCATGGTCACTGCTCAAAGGAGTTATCGTCTTTAGTTTCTCAACTAAAGACGATAACTCCTTTGAATCAACTAAAACTCGTTATTGTTTGACTCGTCATTCAGCTAAGTCTCATTCGTTTACTGTATCTGTTCCTGCATGCTCTAAAAACTTTTATTCATCTAGTATTTTTTCCCGCACTTCAATCTGTTAGAACTCTCTCCCATCTTCATGTTTTCCTGACTCATACAACCTTCAACTTTTCAAGTCTTCTGTCAACCGTTTCCTTGCTCTATAACTCTGATCTTATTTTCTTAGTAACTCCCAACCTATTAGTGGTTGCTTGCAGCCTTGTTGGGAGTGAATGAGAATAACAAACAAAAAAAAAAACAAATTTAAAAATCAGCAATTTCTACCTTAGCTTAAAAAAAAAAAAAAAAAAAAAAAAAAAATTTTTTAGTAGTCTCATGTCTATCAAGCATTATGTATGAATTACAATCAAACAATCCTTCAACTACAACAAACTGTTGCGTTAGTTGTAGTTAAAGTAAGAAACGAATAGAATGAAGAACATCAGATATTAAGTTTCAAGCTTATGGTTGGTAACTTCTTCAATTGACCCAAACAAAGCCATTGTATCTCTTGCATTGGCCATTACCCTAAGGATTTAAAGAAGTAGTTATACACACATTGACACCTCAAAACTTAGGAAAATGGCCTAGCTCAGTTGACATAAAGCTAGTGCTTAGGTCAGAGTGTAAAAAAGCAGGCATACTAAGTAAAGAGAGATATCATAACAAGGTAGAAAGATATCACAACAAAGTAGAGATATCTCAACAAGGTAATACAAAAGGGAATCTTGAAAAATCATTAACAATTATTAGCAAATATTTCTTGGCAGATAATGACAGAATAAGCCCTTTAAAATTTATGTGCAATTGCTCAAAAGGTTAGATTTTATCAAAGGTTGACTTATTTGACACAAACTTGACACAAAAAAATATTATTAATTGAAAAAGAAAGATTCTTTGATTTTATTAAGTGATAAATTCTTGTGATTCTAAGGAGGCAAAGAGATTCCCTCAGTTCCATGATAGAAGATTTATGAACTAAGACAGGGTAACAAGAGAGAAATTATCAGCAACATACTTATGTTCAAGACAATAAACTATATGTTATTGCTATACAAAGAAAGTTCTGTTCTCCACCATATATGAAGCAATTTATATTCTCCACCTAAATGAACCTTATCATTTCTATTTTTTTCACTCAGAAACTTTCATGACTTCTCAAACATGAATAAGAGACCACTAATCAGTGACTATTGTAAAGTGATGGCAAACAAAGTAATGTTTTCATTTTTGTAGTAATTTTACAATAGCATAAGCTTCTTTTTTCCTTTTTTTTCTTCTTCCAATGAGATATTTTTATTGATTGCTATTAAAGCTGATTGAGAGATTAAAACACTTAATAGCTTCAGCAGACAGAGAAAATGTCAAGTTGGTATAAAAAATGCTACATATATTGGAAATAGTACGAGAACATATCAAGCACTCAACAAAAAAACACCATCAGCAGGCATTTAAATTAAAGGCCTGATGCAATCCAGATAAAGAGAAAAAGAGCCACTTTTTATACTTAACACAAGAAAGCTTATAAACATTTTAGAGAATATAAAAATAACAGTTCCAAAACAACAGCATTAAGGATAGCAATTAAGAATTAGCATTACTATATTGCTGTCAGTTTTGTTTCAATAAATGGAAACATATTAATATAAACATTAAGATTTAAAAAAATCTAAAAAACAAAACAAGTTTAATAACACTTTCGAAAAATTAAACTAACTTTAGGATGTTTAAAAATATGCAGAAGAGAAATGGAAATTAATTCTGATAATTTTTTATTTCATTTTTATTTTAAAACCTACAGTTTAACCTTATCTACACTTAAAAGAAAAAATAATGCTTACTTCTCCAGTAAAATGATCAGTATGAGAACTTTTTGAAGGAAAGTAAACTGAAAACATTCTTTTTCCTACTATTTCATTTCTTGACAATGTCTTTAATACATTTAGAGGATTGTACTCTTCTCTATTTAGTATTCTCAGTAATCTAAAACAAAGTTTATTTTAAAAATCAATTATATTTTCCAAAATTTAATCATAAGTCGTGCTTTAATATATGAATGTCTTAAATAGTTGATATAGGAATGATTAAAACCTCATTTAAATAATCAAACATATAAATTAAACAAATAATGAAATATAACCTTAAAACTTGGGAACTTATAGACTTCCTTAATTTTTATTTGACAACTGCAATTAAATTTCTTGGTGTCCTGAACATAGCATTTTGAAAAACTGTGATCCGATACCTGTTAAGTTAAGTAAACAAAGGAATAAAAAATCAAAGACTTAAACATATAATTTTTAAATATAACAGCTATTTTCTTAACAAAATGATACAGAAAAACAATAACTTTTTTTTCATTTGAACGAATTTTATAATCTTCTTAAGAGGAGGCTTTCCTATCTTTTCCATGCATACAATCAAGCACTTTACAGCCTAAAACCATGAAGGGAGTACCATTAAATGATATTGAATCATCTTACTATCTTATTTTGGGGTGTTTTACAGAACCTTTAAAGATAATAGCAACAAAATACTTTTTTAACGATAGGTCTACAAAAGGAATGTTTAGGTACGTTAGAAAAGGTATGTTAGAAAGGTCTACAAGAGGAATGTTTTTAACCGAGTGGTAAAACAAACATCAGCATAAGCCTTTTATAATCACAATTAAAAATATCTTGTCTCCAAAGATTAAAATGTCTTGTATTACCTATACTTAATGTCGTTTCTTCTAATAAATTTAAATCATTATTATTTCCGGATAATAATTTTATTTCCATTTCCAAGTTTAGATATTTAATCTTCGACGATAGTAATTAATAAAATAAGTGAAATCGCGCTTTAACCTTCTGAGAAAATTAATTGTAACAAATTAAATTAAAAATGCAAAAATTAATTATGCTAACTCTGTCCTGGACGTTTGGCGGGACAAATACGGAACAATTTACGGGACCTAACTTTACGCTATGGAATCATGTACTTTCCAATAATAAGGTTATTGCATAAATAATTAAATCCCAGTATTGACATAAATCATTACAAAAGTATAAAAATAATAATTTTGACAATATTAATATCGCAGTGGCTACGGTACCGGCTGCAGGATCTCTAACGCCAGCAGCTAGAGTACCGGCTGGTTTGGGTTCTAGCTATTTTATAACTTATATTCATTACGTAATACTAACAACATAAAAATCAGCAGCCGGTTACCTAGCCCTTAATGCTATAAAAGCGGCTTCTGGTTCTTTCTAATTGTCTGCAAATAATCAACTTAATTGTTACTATTATCCGCACTTATTGTTTGTAGAATGAATGTTGGAGATATTTTTAATAATTTTAATGAGCTTAAGGTAGCAATTGAAGAATATGAAAAATCAAGATTTGTATCTCTTTATGTTCGAGATAGTCGAACAATTGATTTAGCAATTAAAAAAGGTTTGCAACGATCTATTAATAAAGAGTTAAAATATTACTATTTAACATACTGTTGCTATCATGGTGGACGCAAATTTAAATCAAGATCAAAAGGGCTTCGTCCAAACCAAAGGTATTTTTCAATAATAATTAGAGCTAGTCAATAAAATCATGACTTTTTTAACAATCATTTTGTCAACTGAAGATTGCGTTACACTAAAGATACTATTTGTAGACTTATTATTTATACATAGTACCTATAAAATTCAATGTCCGTTAACAATTTGCATTGGTGTTACCGAAGATGGTGAAAGATTCTGTGTGACAAAAGTTATTAATGAGCACAACCATGCAATTGACAAAGTAAATCTGTTTTTTGTACTATATAAATGTATTTGTAATGTTTCTTATTTTAACTTCTTATTTTAACTTTAATTTTTGTTTATGTAATTTTAAAATTTTTTATTGATAGATTACTGAATAAATAAACTCAATCTTATGATTTACCTCCCTTATGTTGACTCAATTTATGTTCCTTTAGTTATTTTTTTCTATACAACAAATTGGAATTAAACTTTTAAAAGTTTACATTTTATTGTGAAGAAAAATATATGATAAAAAAATGTTATTATCTGCTTTAATCATTGTTTTTTTTTTTGTTTTTTTTATAAAAAACTAAGTAAATAGGCAGTTAAATAAATAACATTTTCCACTCCAGTAAGAAATGGTTCTACTATATAATTGTTTACTGTTATGGCTTATTGTTGTATTTTAAAGTTAACTTTTATGTTTTGTCATGATGCAAGAGTTTCTAAAGCTTTATATTAATATCACTTAAGAGAAAAAGTAAAAATAATACAATTGTAAATGGTATTTTATTTGAATGTGCACACTAATTAAATATTTATTCAAACTGTTTTTCTCCATTGTAGTTAATGCTTTGTTTTAACTTTGTCCATATTGACATAAAATTGAGACAAATAAAGACATAAAATTGAGACAAATAAACAAACAAATATTCTTAGAACTATAAATAAAATAAGTCTCTTATTAAAAAGTTAGTGCAAAAAGTTTCTTAAGATATTTGGGCTTCAAGTACTAGTTTTTTATAAACAAGTTTCTAATAAAAATTTATCTGTAAAGAAGTATTTTAGAAATAACAAATTGCTGCTTTTAAAGAAGTTAAAATTTTTTTTTTTTTAAATCCTTAAAAATGATGAAGTTGTTAATTTTTTTAAATTTTTTTACCTAGGAAATAATTGAAAGACTTCCAAAAGTTAGGAAACTAAATGAGGATCAAGAGAAAGATGTAAAACAAATGTTAAAGATACATGGCAATAAATGGCTTATTCATGAGCATGTTCAAAATGAAACAGGTGACATTTATTAAAACTTAGGCAAAGCAAGTTCTAATATCCTGATTGTATTTGGAGTTGTGTGAGCCATTAAATTAAACATAACTGTAAATTATATATATATAAATACAGTATATATTTATATATATAAATGCGATATATATAAGTAGTGTATGTATTTATGTATATAAACCGGTAATGGATTTTCTCTTGCCGAATTACTGGTAATACATATATATTATATATATGTATATATATATATATATATATATATATATATATATATATATATATATATATATATATGTATATATATATATATACAAATATATTTATATATATATATATATATATGTATATATATATATATATATATATATATATATATATATATATATAGTATATATATATATATATATATATATATATATATATATATATATATATATATATATATATATATATATATATATATATATTATATATATGTACATATATATACATATATATATATATATATTATATATATGTATATATATGTATATACATAAATATATATATATATTATATATATATATAAATATATATATATAAATATATATATATAAATATATATATATATATTATATATATATATATATATATATATATATATATATCTGTGTGTTCATGTTTGGTTCAATTTACTATGTATTAATCTTATTCGTCACTAATAGAAAAGAAAATAACATTAAAAGATCTTCATAACTTAGCCTCCAAGGAGAAAGGTTCCACAGATATAGAATCTTTGCTTGCAGTTTTTAAAAATTGTGTTGGTTAGTTTTTTTTTTTTTTTTTTGCTGATTAATGCAGCCATTTTATAAATTACTCTATGTTAATATTTTTATAGAATAGATAATTATTTTTTTAAATAGTTTTAAAAAATTAGTTCCAATACTAGTATTTTATAACATTTTCAGAAACAAGATTATGGTAAGTGACGTACGACTGCAACAAAAAAAAAAGAATAAACTGAATATGAAATATTTATCACTATTACTAGCTACTATATTTTCAATTGGTCTTGTTTGGTAGATATTTGTTAATGCTTTACACTATATTTTTACTACTAACACTACAATTCCACTAACGCACAATATTTTAAATATTAAACTTAATTTATCTAACCACTCTAAGGGAGTCCATTATTCTAGTATATATTATATTGGTTTATTTTAGATTATAATTTGATATTATATTGCATTGCTTAAATTGCTTCACTCTAGTCAGACATATTTTGTGTAGGTGCAGATGTAGACATAAAATGTAATGAAAGTGGAATTATTCAGTCAATATTTTTTCAAGACGCAGAAATGAAAAGATTTTTTTCATTGTATCCAGAACTAATTTTGATGGATGCAACTTACAAGTTAACAAATTTACGTATGCCATTATATATTATGCTGGCTGTAGGACCAAATGGAGAAAGTGAAATAGTAACAATTTTTGTTACTGCATCCGAGGATTCAATTACACTCAGTGAAGTGCTAGATACATTTAAATCTAGAAATGAAAAATGGAATGAAATTGTCGCAATTTTCACAGATAAGGACATGGCAGAAAGAGACTCTATGAGAAAATCTTTTCCAAATGCAGTTTTGTTACTATGCTTGTTTCATGTTCTACGAACGATGAGTCGAGAAGTTACTGTTTTGAAAATGGGAATTTCAGAAAGCCAGCAGTTACATGCATTAAAATCCGTTCAAAAAATGACTTATGCCACATCTGAAATAGAATTTGAAAAGTAGAAAGGTGATTTTGTTGCCAAAATGCCACAGAGTGTAGTTCGTTACTTTGAAAATAACTGGAACAATTGTGTAACTGAATGGGTGTATTGTTGGCAACAGCAGAATTTAACTTTCGGACAGCGAACTACTAACAGATTAGAGTCTGTAAACCGAAGAATTAAAGCTGTTCTAAATTTACTTAACCCTCTTCCTCTCTTTTTCAAAGACCTTATTACTGTAATTGATTGTATGCGAAAGGAACGAGACCATACATTTATCACTGCTGGTGAACGTATCTCTGTGCATTCTGTTTTACAAAATGATGTTCTAAAAGATTTTTCTCAAATATTAACACCTTATGCACAAACCTTTGTTGCAAGTCAATTCCAAGAAGCACTTGATGTAAACCCTATTGAAGAAAATGGACATCTAACTTTAGAAATATTGGGTCATAAGGTGTTGCTAAGCGAGCATAGGTGTCAGTGTATTTTTTTTAAATCAATGGCATTACCATGTAAACATATGTTTGTTGCAAGGCGAATGAAACAGTTGCCACTATTTTCATATAATGGCATTGGTGTGAGATGGCTTAAGGCTCATGCTATTGAAAATCATAGACTTTTTCAACACCAAAATGAAAATATTAGTCATCTGGGATTAGGTGTTATTAAGGAAAGACCATTGACACAATCTGAAAAATTTAAAAAAGCATATCGTCTATCACAGCATTTAGCCCTGCTAGTCTCTGAATGTGGCAACACTGAATTTGAAATCAGGTTAAATGTTCTTCAAAATTTAGCTAAAATTTGGGAGGAAAATAAAAATGTAGATGTGTCAACCTTTGGAGTCACCTGTGGATTTTTTAATAGAAACTAATTTGGATCACCCTTCTGAAATAAGCAAGGAGATATTATGTGATCATACTGATAAAGAGATGTTATGTATGAAAACTTTTTCTTCTGAAAACTCACCAAATAATATTGATGTTGACTTCAAATCTAATGAAATCTTAAATCCAATAGAAACAAACCTTACGGGTGTTTGTAATTCCCTTCTTTTAAATGATTCTAAATCAGCTGACTTAGCAAATCAATTTGTCAATAGCTGCAAATCAAAGATTTCAATACCCCAGTATCCTACAAAAACAGATAATTTATCAAATAGTTCTATTGAATTTAGCTAGTGAAAATCTAAATAGTGGTGATGCAGTAGAGGTATTGAATTCTTTTTAATTCCTTTTTAATTAGCCTTTTCATTGCTTTTGAATATTTTTTTTTTAGTTTTGAGATTTAAAAAAAAATGGTTAATATTAGAAGGTGGCATTCCATCAAATCTTAAGAAATTGAAACATTCCTTAAGAATTAATGGAATCAATTCTTAATTATCATCTTCTTTTTAAGTGACCTTAAACGACTCCCAATTCTTTTAAAAATTTGTGCCAAACTAATGCACATTGTTCCATTCCATTCCATTCGAATATGTAATTTTGCTTTACTATAAAGAATAATAAAACTTAACTTTAAAAAATTCAAATCATGACAATTTAGAACATAATTAAATCTTTTAGGCAAGCGAAAATCTACATAATACTTTTAATATTCCTTCTATCAATATAAAAGACCTTAAGTTTCCTCCAAAGATTAAATCACGAGGAAGGCCAAAGGCTACAGAGAGGAAAACTGCAATGGGTGTATGTAAATGGAAAAAAAAGTGTTTATCTTATGTTGATAAAAGTGTGACAGGAAAAATAAGTGGTTAGTTTTTATGAATTAAAAAATGTAAATTCTAAAAATTTTATCCACATTTAAACAATATCATTTTGTATATATTTGCAATCTCTTGCTCTCTAGTTCTTCTGGGTGGTATTCTCATAAAGGGAAAAGTTGAAGATGTTACACATGCAATGCAAGCAGGTGTTGGCGATTTAGAATTAAAGCCTGGCAATCTTCCTTCTGCATTTATTAATGATGCTGTAAAAATAGACATTTTAAAACCATATTTAACCAATTTTGCCTGGAATAGCCTGAAGAAAGCAATTTTGCAACAAAAGCAACTGGCTGTATGGAATTGTCCACTTTGCACTTGTAATACAGCTTCCAGTGAAAGCATTGAGTGTGAAAGATGTGTAGTGTAGTATCATTTTAAATGTGTTTGCATTTCTAAAAAACCAAAGAAGGAATGGTTTTGTGACAAATGTCATAATATATTAGATGAAAGTAATAAAAGAAATTAAAAAAAAAAATCTCTATATAAAGTTTTAAAAAAGAAAATTAAAGAAAGTAATAGTAAATGGAAATTAAAAAAATATATATCTGTATATAAAGTTTAAAAAAGTTACCTAAAGAAAAAGAAAATAATAAAAACGAAAAAACAGTAAAAAATAAATGAAAAGATGCAACAACAAAACAACAAAGCATGTGTATATATATACATGCTTTGAAAAATAATCATATTTAAGCTTTCTTTGTGTTTTTTACAGCATTTTCAATATAATCGATGCTGTTTTTGTTGATTTTGATATTTTATGTTTTTATATTAATAATCAGTATATTACAAGATTATATGAACAAATATTTATTATTTACAAATTAACAGAAAGAAATGATTTCATTTTATAGAAATAAGAGTGAATTTGATTTTACAATAAACAAGTATATTAAGTACTCTAAGGTGCTTAATACAAAGAGGGGGTGGGATGGGAATAAAAGGATGGTTGGGAATTTTAGTCCAGATTTAATAAATGGGGGAAATAATAACAAAATAGGAATCTCAATCTTTAAAGATTGAAATTATTATTTTGTTATTTGAAATTGTTGTATGTAACTAAGAACATTTTCTCATTCAAATGTTCTTGGTTTTTTTTGTGGTTGTTGTTGTTGTTGTTGTTGTTTCATTAAATCTTTTTATGAATTATGAATATTTCCTGGCATTTTTTAAACTTATTTTTAAATAAATTTAAAATTATCAATAGCATGTTTGCACTTTTTTTTTTCTTATTAAACAAGGAATCTGGTGAAGCTATGCGTGCGTTTTACTATAAATTATTTGAAAATATATTTTTATTTAAAACTTCATTTTATGTAACATAAATAATTGCTGTAGTAAAATTATCTGGCAATTTGAATGTTAGTTATTTGTATTTCCATTTAAAAATGCACTGATTTTATTTAAAATTATTGTTTTAAAGGTAATACAAATTCGTTAGTTTTTCAAGCATTTTTCATTATTTTTGTATATATAAGATTCAGTCTTGAAGAACTAGTTCTAAGATAAAAATATAAAAAAGAAAGAAAAATTTTGATCCTCCAAAAAACAC